TGCAAGGAATTGGAAGACAGGGTTGGGCCAAATATATGCAGAAACTGACAAGACGTGACCCATGAGTATCAGTGTGGGGAGTAAGACTACCAATAAAAACAGGACTCGCTGGCAATGAAAGTTTAGAGAGAAATCAGCAAACTCTGAAAAAGCCAAGAAGGGATGGTCAAAGAAGCAAGGTCTGCAACTTTGAGGGTTGGAGGAATTATTTTCAGATAAAAATCATTTGTAAAAATATTACTTTTCCAAAATGTTTGAGAAAAATTAAAATCTGAAGAAAACTGGGGTGGGGAGTAGAGGGGGGAATGTGTATGCCCTTCACCCAGTTTCAGCAATTTTTAAAATATTTTTTCTACCTTTGCTTTGGCTCTGTCTGTACACATATTGTTTGCTGTATCTTTGCAAAGTGGGCTGTAGACACTCCAAGAACTTGCCACTAAACATTTCAGCAAAAGAATTTCCTTAGCACCAGTGCAGTTGTCCCTCAACCTGTAAGGGATTGACTCCAGTAATTCCAAAGTGCCCAATTCTGGAGATGCTTAAGTATCTTATGTAAAACAGTGTCATCATTAAATAAAGGGAGTCAACAGAACCTTGGAAAATGGAAACTACACTTCTGGTGTACAGAAGTGTACAGATGTCAACTATAATGTTGTATACAAAACAGTTACTGCAGTTAAAACATTGTAAATGAGGTAGTATTTGCATATAACCTACACACATCTTCTCATATATATTAAATCATCTCTAGATTACTTACAATACCCAATACATTATTAAAATTATGTAAGTAGTTGTTATATTGTACTGTTTGGAGATAATTACCAGGAAAAACATCTGTAACTATTCAATACAGAAACAACCTTTGTAAAACTAACTTCAATAGTACATTTTTTTAATCTGTAAGTGGTTGAATCTGGGGGTGCTCTACTGTATCCAAGAATACATCATCTTACCTTTCCAGATTCAGATTTTTCCAGTTGTCCCAATACTGTCTTCTATAGATTTTTCTTTGGCCTAGGATACAGCCAATTACATGTAGCTGTCAGTTGTAAAGACTTTTTACTCATCTTTAAACTCAACAGTATACCTGCACTTTAACATGCTTAGCAATGAATATTCTCTTCCCTCTGATATTATGCAGAAAATCAGTTGGTATATTTATAGTTATTTCTGAGAATGGAGTACAAAGAAATTCAAATTCTTCCCTACAAAATCCAAGTTAGTAAGGACTCTTGGATAAATAGAATGAGAACTAAAAAAAACAATGCTAATCTGTTTCTAATTAGCGGTTATATATGCTAAGAAAGAACCAGCAGGGAAATACTGCTGTCCTTGAATACTGTGGTTTTGTGCAAAGTCATTTCAGGTATAATTATGATGAAAAAGAAAAACTCCTGGCCATTGCTGAGTAGAGGAACAGTATTTGAGTACCTGCTTTCCTCCTGTGTCTAGAAGGACCATGCTGGCTCTGCCTGCAAGTGTTTGCTCCAGTGATCCTGACCCTTTGCTCACTGAGGGAGATAACAGTTTCCTGAAATGGGTGTGGATGTGGCTACACACTCTCAGGCAAACGAGAAAAGGGCAGGTTCACTGTCAATTCTGGCAGACAGATAGAGTTACATTTCACAGGCCTTTAACGCCCACTCAAGGAGCCAACACAACAGGAACACCAGGCAGGGAATCTAGCACAAGCGTGGCAGCAGGTGCTGGCAAGGCAGGGGTACCTGGATGCAGGCAGGCCTGTCACGGTCTCTCCCCTCAGAGCAATCTTCCTCCTCACTGCGCTGCGACCGCTGCCTTTATCCCTTCACCCCTAGGCACAGCTGTGAGCATTTACACACCCACACTCCGGGTTCTCTGGCCAGGTGTGCACAATATAGGTGTGTCTACCTGGTGCCCTTCACCTAGGCTGGGCATCATGTCAGCGCCGGGAGGTCCCCGAAACTTTGATTTACTCATTTACTCTACACACCCCCAGGTTGGATAGAAAATACCTTGCGAATGCTCCTCCCCATTCCACACGTCTGCCTATAGCCGCATAAGCACATACCCTCCTCCTAAAATTCCCAGGCAGACAGAAGCAGCATGCTGCATGCTGTGCTTCTCCCTACGGCTGGCCTTTCCTCCTTAAACCCTTCTTTACCTCTTTATTCTCCCTGCAAAGAAAGGGATATCATGAGACCCACCTTCCTTCCTCTCTCCTGCCTTCATATCTCTACATAACTTCTCTCTCTTGGAATGATGGTGTTTATAGAGCCACCACCACAGTTAGTGAGCTTTGAAAGGACAGTACTGTGCCTTTGATTTCCGTATGTCCAGAACTTGGCCAGCCTGAAACTTTATTGAGCAAGTAAATGAAAGCATAAACAACTGATTTAACAAATAGCACCACCTTTAAACTTTCTGGGCTTTATAGACTTCACCTTATGACTCAAAAAAACAATAATGCCATAAATGAAGCAATGAGCACTACAAGTGTGAGTTAACAGCCATGGATTTGCCTCTTTGGGCAAAGCGCAATACTTTGTATTATTGGAAAGTTCCAGAAGAAGTAACGCCATTCCTTTTAGCACTGAAGGGAAGGTGTAGAATTTGGCTACTGTTACCAAAGCACATTTGCTTTGGGCAAATGCAGGCCCAGTTCCAGCTTTCCTAAGCCCTGGACAATGTGGATGAAGGCTGAGCCTCGTAACCGCCCTGGGGAAGCTCTGCAGAGTGCAGGTAAAGCTTGAGTGGTGTCACTAAAAGAAAAGTATGGTTGGTCACTGAGCCTGTTGCAACATGGAGAGGTGACATTGGCAGTTAGAGGTGAGTTTTGCTGGAGAAGGGCAGTTCTGCTGGAGTGCAGGGCTGGTGGGGTTGTAGCTGACAATAATCTTCACAAAGCACCTTGACAAAGGGCTTTGGCTTAAGTTATAGCAACTTAGGTTTGATGCAGTTAAGTTTTACACAGTGAGCATCCAGGGGCTTCCATACCTGTTAAGCAGATCATTTTTACCCTGTAGGATTGATGTAGAATTTTTTGATTATTATAATAGTTTATTTTTACATTATTTTGTGCCTTCTTCCATCTAGGGGATGTAGACTTTAAAGGGTGGGAGGCCAACTAGAGAACAGCTTGTTATCCAGGTGAAACACAGGGGCAGCCTCCGCCAGGCTTGTTCCTGGAAGTGTAGGAAGGGGAGATCTGAGAAAAACGGTCTTTGGTGGGAACTGCCCTGGATGGAGTGGTGATCAGATAAACCACATCAAAACTGATCAACTACAAGTTTCAGCATCCTGGGTGCTGTGTGAGTTCCAGACTGAGTCTTTGTTCCCAACAGCTGTCTTCAGAACGAAGAAAGAGAAGGAGAGAAAAGGGAACACACACCACCTAGTTTCTCTGAGACCCAAACGGGCCGAGTCGATGTTCTGTTTCACCGCATAAGTGAAAATCAAATTTTACAAGAGGAAAATGATTTTCTTTTCCTTATCATCTCTAAAAGCGCTTGTGGTATCACCTGATGACATTTCCAGCCTATGATTGAGGAACAGGAAAGGGCAAAATCAAAATTAGCTACACAGGTGTAGCTAATTTCTCAGAAAAAAAAAAAAAAAAGGAGATGGGGGGAACAAAGGAATAAAAGCCAACCTGTTTGCCTTCTGGGTTTTATCATCCCTCAGCTGCCTCACCAGTTTTTGCCAGCAGCACCTTAGAAGTGGCCTCAGGAGCCAGTGTTGTAGGCCTTCTGTCAGAAACCTGCTGGCTAAAACTTCTGAGAGGAAGAAGCTCTTGGGTGGGTGGTGCTGCTTCTGGACAAGCTCTTTAGCAAGTAATTCTCTTCTGTCAAGTGGCGGCCATCACAGGGAGCTCCTTCCCCTCTGGTAGCAGCGCAGGTGAGCTCTGTGGATGTCAGTGGCTCCTTACACGGAGAGAAATAATGCTGATTATGCGTATGGACAGTGATGCGGGTGGCCGCACAGAGGAGGTGCCGAGAGGGACGTGATGAACGCCTAGCTGGCTTGTTGAGAGAAGTTAAGTAATTCTTGTGTACAACATCTGGTAAACTCTTGGCCCAAAGTCAGCAGAGGTTGTAGCTATTATACTTAAATAATATATTTACAAAAGCAATGAAACTTTGAGTTTCAGCTGCTGGGATTGTTGGTTCTTGTGTGAAACAAAGACAGAGATCATTTTTATTTCTAAAGACTTGTGTTCCAAAGAAAACAATTCTATCACTGTCATGACCTGTTTAAAGAGAAAATATGAAAGTTGCTTGGCCAAATGTCTAGCTGCATCTATACTTCTGCCTAAAATCTAGCATCTTTAGTTTTTTGTTTTTTAATTAATTTATTTATGTATACAGAGCTGGGGTACAGGCCAGAGGTGCAGGAGAGATGAGGGGATTCACCAGAGACAGAGTGGGGAGCAGAACAGGCAGATCGGGGGAGTACACTGCAGCGGGCGGGTCAGGAGAGGTCTGCCGCGCCACGTGGTCACCTCCAGGGCTGGGGATGGAACTTGTGCTGCAGTGACTGCGACAGCTTCATAGTGTGTGCTTTAACCTGTTGTGCCACCAGGAGGGCCCACATTTTTAGTTTTAAAGAGATTCTGAGACATGAGGGCAAGAATGCCAGCCCCAGGGAACCCACAAGGGCAGCTGCTGGACACAGTTGTGCTTGGGCTGGTGGTTTCTCCTTGCAAAACCGGGAGGGGAAGTAGAGCAAAGTGGAGGGTGGACCCAATGGACTATGGAGGACCATAGGTGGACCTTGGTGGTAAGCGTGGAGTGGCCACAGACACCTGAAGCATGTAATCTTACATCTCTAAATCATATACACTGTTGCAAACCAATGTTAATTAAAAAAAAAAAAGGAAAAGGAAAAAATATAAACAAGAGCTAGAATTCCAAATATATAGTCTTATGTTAAATCTGCTCTCTTCATTTGTCTCATGAGGCTCTCCCAGACTCTTCAAGGGACCTGGGATGGGGTCTTATTGGGGGTTCCCTGAACAGAGCGAATAACCGCTCTGAGAATAAATAGCACAGCTTTTCTGTCGGTTCCTCCTTTCTCCCGGGAAGCACTTCAGTGCTGCTCAGGGCAGCTCTCACGGCCTCGGAGGGGGGGCCCCCAAGGACCCCAGGGACAGCTTGCCTGGGAAGCAAGCTGGGATGAAGAGATGGGCCAGAGCCAAAGCGAAAACCTTACGCTGGGGCCCAAGGTCTCCTCCTTCCTTGGCGGCTGCTGCAGTTCAGCGGGAAGGGGCGGCCGCTGGGACTGGCCGCCTCTGCCCCCAGGTGCGGGTTACTCTGTGCAAGGAGAACCTGAAGCGGCCGCTCTCCAGGACGCCGCGGGCCGTCTAGGGGCTGTTCAGTGCCCTCTCCTCCCCTACGCCCAACTGTAAACTGGACAGTGTTTTTATGGTCGGAAATCAGCTGCTATGTTAATATTAGTTTAAAAACTGCCCTGGCACATATTCAGTATTACTATGGAAACGACTGTTTCTAGCAATTCACTGATAAGATGTAGTTCAAGGACTTGGGTCTGTGTGGGAGGTTTTCAGCATCCACCAAATTGGAGAACTGCTTGTTGCAATAGTAATTAATTCATAAGACTCTCTCTCTTCTTAGGCTTTAAGTATGGAATCTTCAGTCTCCTCTCCCCCTTTCTCTCACTCTGAAATTTAGGGGAGTGTTCCCTTTTTGCTTTAGATGTGCAGATGGGAGATAATCCTTATATATAGTTAAACGACCCTTATTGAAAAAGATTTATTTATACATACAGAACTGGGGTACAGGCCAGAGGTTGCAGGGGTGGTGAGAGGCTTCACCAGAGACAGAGTGGGGAGCAGAAAAGGCAGGTCCACGAAGTACACTGCTGAGGGGAGCAGCTGGCATGTCTTGTCGGAGAGGTCTGCAGTGCCATGTGGATCATCTGCGAGGCGGGATCGAACTTGCACTGAGGCAGCTGTGGCCAGCTTGCAGTGCTGCGTCCTAACTGGTTGCATCACCAGGGAGGGCCCTGAACTCCCTTGTTTTACATTCGTGTTCATTATTTTCACAGTAAAGAATTTCTTCTTCAGATATGGTCATCATAGTTCTCTCACCACCAAATCACCCATAATCCTCCATCATAGTTTGGGGCTCACTCCCCACTTTCTCCTTTCTTCCTCTCTTCCCCCGCTTTCCCTCTCCTTGTCCTTCCTGATGCTTCAGACCTATGGACAGTGTTGCATAACCATCCCAGGCTGGGTAGGTGCAGTCAGTTCTTACAGTTTTGGAGGCCTCGTATTTTTTTTTTTTTTAAGATTTATTTATTTATTCATACAGAACTGGGGTACAGGCCAGAGGCTCAGGGACGGTGAGAGGCTTCACCAGAGACAGAGTGGGGAGCAGAACAGGCAGATTGACGAAGTACACTGCTGAGGGGAGCAGCGGGCGGGTCAGGAGAGGTCTGGCTCGCCATGTGGTCTCCTCCGGGGCAGGCGGGAATCGAACTCATGCGGAAGTGGCTTCAGATTCTCAGGGCTGTGCTTTAACACGCTGCGCCACCAGGGAGGGCCAGGAGGCCTCGTATTTTTACAGGGGTCTAATAGTGACAAGAGAAACCAGTCCCAAGGAGACAGCAACTTGAACCCCCCACCCGCGAGAGAGCCTCCGCCGTTTTACCCCCTCCCTTCCTGGCCCATGTGCATAATTACGGGCTGTGTGCACACTGCAGGTGCCATCGTAGGGGCTGGTGGTGGAAGGGCATAAAGAAGTCTGATGAGCTCATCACCCTACAGTCAGCTTCCACGGGTTGTTTTTAAGGCTTGACTTTGTCTGATCTTTGGCTCTCTATACTCCTGACTTTTTGAAAATACAACACCCTTCAGTTTCCCACTAAATCGTACATAATGGTTTGACTTAGCCACTTAAGTAATCTACACACACACACACACACACACACACACACACACATACACTCACCTCTGAAACACTGAAGCTGGAATGTAACCTGTGATCAACTAGCCCATTAAAACCTTTTAACTTCCCATCTGAAACTGCCTACGTGTGTTTATTTAACTGGTACATAATCAAATTTTAAGATGGAGTTGGAGTAGTTCATTCCATGCCACTCTTTCCCAGGAGCCAATTTTCAACGCCAAATATTGCTGCTATTTTTAACCACAGACTTCCGCTGATCTTACAAAATAAAGGTATAAGGAAACGAAGGAACTGGAGGATGGTAACTACAGCATCGGTTCTTGAATTTCCTCACTTGAAGTCACAGCTTTAATATTTATCTGTACCTCCTTTCACTTGGAAATGTGAGGTCAATTTTCCCAAGAAATTCTGTAATGCGTCTTTTTTTTTCCCCCCAAAGCTCCATTCGGTGTGTTTATTGTTTCCAAGTTTTCTGAATGCTATCATTGACTCTAAATATTGTGACAAGCTGATCCTGATGCTGAGGACAGAAAATGTCTTGTTGCTTTTTCCTTCCAGAGAAGGCAGCTGATCGTATTTTTTTCAAAATTAGTGTTCTGCTGTCTGGCCAGTGGGTTCTGCTGTCTGGCCGCCCCCAACTCGCCCCCTCGTCCCCCCTCCCTCCATCCCCAGTGTCCCTAGTGGTGTGAGGAGGGCAGCCGTCTTTCCTGGGCACAGCTGAGTGCTGGGAACTCACAACAGTTAGCGGTGATCAGGAAGAGATCGATAATCCAAGCAGGACCAGAGAAATCAGCTGCTAACAGTTTACTCTGGACAATAAAAAGGAAGAGTCAGGACAAGGCTTGAGGCCTTTGTGCCTCCACATCATGAAAAGTTCAGTGCACTCCTGAGTGCTAACATATGGGAGTTATTGTTCCTCTTCCACAGGCAAAGAAGCTTAGCACGTGTAAATTCAATAGATTATAAGTCCTATACCTCTAGCAAAATTGCTTTCCAACTCACTTCTGTCTGTTTAGCAAGGCATACTGTTTCCAGTCTTCAAAAAATAAAAAACAAAACACACAGCATAAAGTTCTCTTCTGGAATTTAAGGGGGGTGGGAGGGAAAGCCAATATATGTTCCAGCATATTCTAGCTTACTCTCAGGTGAGAAGGTTCAAAATAAGTTTTGACAGTTTTACCTCAGAATGCCAGCGTGCAACCTTGCCTTATGTCAGGATAGGCCACAGCCTGTCACCTGTTTAGAATGAATGTTCTGGGGGAAAAAAAATAAAATCACCTATTTATTTTATTTTGTAGCTGTGGAGTTCAAAGTAATCTGTTTAAATTTAATCATGCATAAAATGAAAAGATGCTAATATCACAACATTACAGATTATAGCTTAAGTCACATAAAATTAAGTATTTGAAATTTGTAATTAATTTGGGCGGTTCCTTTTCAGAAATAGCTTATTCACAAGTAAGGTACGGGTAGCACTGCCCCTCATACAGGTCTGGCCTCACTCTACACTGGTTTTCAGGACAGTCCCACTCGTGGGCTCTGCCATTTCAGGTATCGCAGCAGTTTCACTTATCAAAAGATCCATTCCAGAGCTGTATATTTTAAGCACATTGAAGAACAGGCGAGGAAAAAAAAAAAAAAAAAAAAAAAAAGCCCTTTCAACCTTGGGAATTTAAAAGCAAAAGGCCCTGAGGAGACAATTTCAAAACCCTGCTCATTCAGCTTCACTCCAAAGCTTAATGACATGCCCTATTTGATAGTTTGGGGAACTGTTTCATCAAAAACTTTCTCTCAAGTTTGGAATTGCAATATTCCGTGTGTAGGTTGGCTCCCTAGGTTCAACCTGCAAGGCACTGAAGGATTCTAGTTTATCTTTTTTAAGTAAATAGAATTAGAAATAGTGATGAATGGCATGTTACCAATGTCTTTACATGTTGTGAAGTTGCTGACAGGACATGTTATGTGTATTTCGTTATTTGCATTCATTGTGTGTCATAGTCCCATCCCGTGAAGTAGAAGTTAACATGCAGCTTTTTAGGAGATAGACTGAGTGTGAGAGGTGCAGGACTTGCAGGTGGTCACATGTGGGAGTGAAGAGTAAGGACTCACCCCTCTGCCCCAACAGGAGGAGCTCTGCGCCTCCTCACATGGCCAGGAGCGATGGGTCTGGGCTTCCGACCTTGAATTTCCTCTTTCATTCTTCCCATTCTTCTGAGAATAGCAAAGCATCTGTTGACAGGAGTCTTGATTTCTCCCAGCTCACAGGATATGTGGAGTCTGTCAGTGCTTCAGTGCCCCATAATGGTGTTTCTAGTTCTGACAAGGCTACAGAGCTACAGCTCCAATTCCCTTTCCCTACCCACTGCAAGGTAACCTGTGAGGAGGTCTATCTGGTCGCTTTAGCTCCCAGGGTAATGGATCTTAGACCAAATGGGAATGATTCAGAAAAGTTGAGAAAACTGAGGCAAACCAAGTGTTTTCTCTTCCTTCTGCATGACTATGGATATTTCAGTCATTCACCCAGGAAAACAGCCATCTACCCTTGTAAGTGATAAGCTAATTTAACGGACAAGTTATAATGACATTTGGGAACAAGAATATGCCTTATTTAAAGGGGCTTTGCTGATCAGATCCCATCTGCCCTCTGAGTCCCAGGCTCAAGGTCAACTCAGTGGTGCCCTCCATTATTCCCAGCCCAGATACCTTTGAAAGATGTAATTGCACATGAAAGTATGTCCACACAGTATGGCCCTTTAGTTGAGGTTAACTTATTTTTCTCAAAAGTTGGGCTTAGATTTCCAATAACTGAAGAACAAAACACTGTCAATACCCAGAATTTTTCATAGTAAGGGTAAATGGAAAAGATGGAGTAATTATTTCAGCAACATATACTTGAATGTTTTCCAAGCTCTGCAATGAGATTTCCCCAAATTGAACTCAAAATTGTGTCTCCACCTCTATAGACTATTTCAGTAATGCCATCCCACTCTATGCAGTCACCAGCTGCACGTCGTTGGCCATCTCACTGTCCTCTGCTTCTCCCCAGTCTCTCCTCAACTGACATGGGGCTGTGCTCACCACCTCTCCCAACTATGCTTTTCTTTCAGTTCTTGGTCCCCTGCTAGATTTAGATCTAGGATATCTCTTATCCTGGCTAATAAAATAAGCTTCTATTTTCTTACCTCCAGCTTTCTCATCTTCATTCTCTATCCTAGAACATGAGTCAAATTAATAAAATGTAGTTCTGGTATTATAACCTCCCTTACTTCTTCAGTGGATCCCCACTGACCTCGGTGCAAAGCACACATTTTAGCCTGGCATTCAAATTTCTTGTAAGAGTAAGCTGTTTTGTAGTTCTCTTACCAACATTTTAAACCTTTCCCAAACCAGACATACTCACTCCTGGACAATACCAGGCCACACTGATTTCTTACCGTTTCCTTAAACTCTAAGGATGTTTATGTCCCACACTCTTACAGATCCCAGCCTTTGATTTCTCTTTCTGCTTTTAGTTCCCAGCCAAGTACAATGCTCACTATGATCAATGAATATTGTTGAAGGAAGGAACATAGCAATGAAGCAAGTTTTAGTGAGACAACCAAAACATTATAAAGAGATACAAGATTGTACTAATTGCGCAACAGTTAAAATCAGGGCATACAGCCAACTAACAAACAAAAGACTCAGGAGAGAGAAGATAAATAAAACTCCCTCACATACTGGAAGAAAGACTACTTTCTAGCAGTGGATTGGTTTGGTAGTGGAATGGTTCTTAAGAAAAAGCGCAGTGAAAATGTGAGTTTACTCTTGCTCTAACAGAGCAAAAATATTTTACTCTGACATATTTTTTTGTAAACCAGTTTAAAATTTTAAATAGTGGCTGTCTCCCGTCTTTACTATTTCTGTGTATCTAAATCAGTTTCGTGGCACCCATTGCTTAAGAAGCCTCTCCAACACTTGGGAACCAACATTAAACCAAACACTGTGTCCAAGCAACACCCCCTCCTCCAGACCTAGGTCCAGCTCTTCCTCAGGGGAAACCTGCAGTTTCCTGTGTCTCCGTGTTTGGCGTAACATTGGGTTTTTACAACCATTCAGTTGTCATTGTGAATCCAAATCAAAGTGGTGACTGTGGAAAGCAACAGCCTGTGAGGGCAGCCTTACAACCCCTCCAGCATCTCTTCTGGTGGTTCCCACAAGATGGAACTAATTTAATTTGCTTCCATTCCCCAACAACCCCCCTCAACTCAAACCTTCCCCGTCCCCCCCCCCAAAAAAAAACAAAACTCAGTACAAAACACTGTAAAAGTAACAATTCTTTCAGTCCCAAATCAGAACTTTGGGCGGGGAAGAAAAGAGACTGAATAATATCCTTCTAGCCATGGAAAGGGATGTTGCAAACACCTGTGGGAACATCTTTTGCCCTGATGTGATGCACAGGAGCTGAGTGACTGAGATTAAGAGGCAGAGTAACTATGTTAGACCTTTCGTGCCACACTTTCTGAAACTGCACCTTCCATCTAGATACAGTCACTTCTTCGTGGTCTGGGATGAGAAAGTTTGGCTTCTCTAATACTCTGGTCTCTGGCAGTGCAGGGCTGTGGGGCTCGGGAGCTCTACCCCGGACTCTGTCATTGTCTCTAGCTCACCTCACAATCATCTCTGTCCTTCCAGTTGGCAGGTAACTTGACCTCAGACATCCTCAGCGCCATTGGCTCAGCGACGTCGGCCTTGTTGACGTTCTTTCTCGCAGTTGTGGCTTCTGTCCAACCTCCAAATGGAGAGCAACGCAGGGCACCTACAGCCCCAGCCAGCAGGAAAAGGGGGGCTCTCACGTGGAAAAGTGGAGCGGGCACTACCCCCGATTTTGGAGAGGGTGGTTTAGCTCTGGTCTTTTGGAGAACAAGAGCCACACGCTGGGAACGTGATGACTAACTGAGTGGGTTTTGGACATAACTGGAGATAGTCACTGGTGACTGGGATTACGCTGAAACTGCCAAGGATGCCTCTGACGCCCGTAAAGACTTTCGTAGTCACTCTGCCTGACACCGCTGTTGGATTGTATAGTAGTCACAGAGCAATCTTTTTGTGCCAGTATTATCAGTCTCATAAGTAGCAAAAATATCATCCAGATACTGTCTGGAGGACAGAATCTCTAAGGAAAGTTCCAGTGTTTGTCACTTAAAGTATCTGCTCTTTGGAATGTGGGACACCTTTTCAGTTTGCCTATCAGTTGGCAGCTGCATTTTTTTTTTTTTTTAAGATTTATTTCTTGATGCATACAGAACTGGGTGCAGGCCAGAAGTGCAGGGGCAATGAGAGGTTTCACCAAAGACAGAGTGGGGAGCAGAACAGGCCGACAGACAAGTCCACTCCTGAGGGAAGCAGCAGGCAGGTCAGGAGTGGTCCGCCACACCACGTGGGTCCGCTCGGGCGGGATGGGACTCACGCCCAAGTGGCTGCTGCTGCTCACTGCTGTGCCTGAACCCGCTGCACCACCAAGGAAGGCTCTATTTTGATTTTTTTTTTTTAACACAGAGATTTCAGGAAAAAAAGTAGAATACATTTGTTCCTCTTCCTACCTGGTGGTAAAGGTTTTAATTATGAACCTATCATTAGATGTAAACTTTTTGTCTTTCAGGCATGGAACCCAGAAGTCACAGACTGTCCTCCAACAGCAAAGTGCCACACTGCAGCAAAAACTGAAATGTGGTTGTTGTTCTGATTTTTTTTTGGCCTTTTTTTTTTTTTTGCCTTTGTTGACATTACATGTGACAAAAATAGTCTCAGCAGCTTCATTGAAGAAACTTCTTTTGATTTATCTCAAGCTGGTTATATTTAACATTATTGCTTTTTTTAAAAGATTTATTTATTTATGCATACAGAACTGGAGTGCAGGGTGGTGAGAGGATTCACCAGAGAGAGTGGGGAGCACAGCAGGCAGACTGTATGAAGTATACTGCTGAGGGGAGAAGTCTGCCACACCATGTGGGTCACCTCCAGGGCAGGGATCAAACTTGCACTGAGGCAGCTGTGGCCAGCTTGCAGTGCCTTAATCCAGCGCACTACCAGGGAGAACCCCATTATTGCTATTTAAAAGGGTTGCTTAAAGTCAAAATATTTCCCTAAAGAAACAAACAAACATAAAAGGAACATTCTATTCTGTTATTCTATTATTTTATTCCAACTGCTTTTTAATGGATAACTGTCAAACAATGACTTTTTCTAAAGGTCAGAACCCCAAAGTGAGGTGTAGGCCCTGCAAGAGGTTTGTGTATAAAACTATGAATGGAGTATGGAGAGAAGATACGGGCAGGGCCTTTTCATAGATACATACTGCCCCCTCCCACCAAAGTGTTTCACTGGGATCTGATATTACAGGCTATTATTATAGAATATAATTTTTAAATTAAATATTGTAGGGTGAATGACTGGAGGTAATGCCCTCCCGCCATTAGCATTAATTATGGACACCTGGGGCCTTCATGTGCGCCTGATGGTGGCACCTAGAGTGTGGTGTGTGCCTGTGTGAGTGGGAGAGCCCACGAGAGAAGTCAGAGAGCCCACAGAGAGTAAAGATTCCCCAGGGGCTGGGGGGCCCACCGCCTCCGACCCCTCACCCCAGCAGCCCTGCACCTGGTGGCCTCACACAAATGGTGTATAAAGATCATTGCAAGCCTGAGAAAGCCACCAAGAGCTCCAGGCTCCTCCTTTACCTTTCTGCCTGCATCATAGAAAACCTGATCCATATTCTACTGGCACTACAAATGTAAGCACACATATTCTGGCTATTGCTCAAAAGAATTTGAGCATTAATGGCATAAATTCTTAAACCTATTCTGGAGAAACTTCCTCATCTCAACTCCTCAAGGACATCATTCTAGAAACTGCCTCTCCTCCTTCTACATCAATTGTCTACCATATAGGATGATTTCCCTAAGCAGCAAAAATGCTGCTCTATTTCCCGTGGTATAAAATTATTTTCTGTGGCCCACATGTCTCCCCAGTTACTACCCCATTACTTAGCACCCTTTTCTGCAAAAGCATCCACAAAGGAACTTTCCATATTCTCTGTCTTTCCTTCCTCACCCCCCATTCTCCCTTGACCTGAAGTTAATTTGGCTTTTCTCCTCACTGCTCTATGAAATGACTCAAGTCAGGGCCACCCCTGGCCTCCATGCTGCTAAACACAGTGGCCAGTTGTCAGCTCTTTGCTTGCCTTGACTCTCAGCAGCCTTTGCGCCGTCATTCCTTTCTTGAACACTTGCCAGTGGACACCATTTCCATCCTGCTCTGACCCCTCTATCCAGGTCTTTTCTGTCTCTCTTGCTGGTTTATCATCCTTTTTTTTGATCCCTACTGAACAATATATATATTTTTTCTTGCTCTCTTTCCCTTCTAGAATTTAAGCTATGCAAGGGCAAGAACATTGTTTTCTTTTTATTGCAACATCTCTTACTTAAATAGGTCTAGCCCATTCCAAAATGGGAATCTAGCCTGAAGAACTAATATAAACTGTTTTTATATAAAGATATCCATGACTACGTATTATTGAACATCCATTGGTTAGAATATTATGCAGACCTTGCAATTAATATGAAATGTATTTTATGAAAAAGCAACTTAACATGAAGTCCAAATATGTATGGTACAAATGCAGGGAATGTAGCAAAAATCTGTAGAAAACTACACAAAGGTTCTTAGATCATTGCTACTACCAGAAGTTAGAATTACAACTGCATAGCAGTGGCTTCTATGAGAGGGCAAAAAGAGTTCTTGCTTCATGGGAAAAGAAGTAAGTAGTAAAAGAATTGAAAACAAAAAGTGTCACAAAAGACAAGTTATTGGTAAGAAAGAGGTAACATGCATGCCGGAAGAATAAATTAATTCCAGGTGGACACGCCAAACACCTAAGTCTGTTCACTACAGACTTCTCCAGTTAGCCAAATCTCTGTGTTTCTGCACAAATGAAATATATAGTATCTTATGGATGCTTCAAAACTAGCCCGCCGTATCTACAGCACTCGATTTAGCAAGGTAACACTCACCATCAGTAGAAAAGTCTAGTATCTGCATCACCAGTGTAGCTGCCTCACCATTTTTGCACCAACCATGTTTTCGTAGTTTGCCTGAGACTGATTTTAAAGCGACTGAAGCAATCTATAATCCCCATTTGCAAAGTGATAGTGCCACCTCCTATTAAACAGTGTTTTGTTTGCTTCTCTCCAAGTCCCAGCTGACTGGAACTTGCTTTCACAAAGAAATTCCTTGGAAAAACCACAAGGTGCCAGAAACTTGTAGATTTTGGCAGCTCTATAGAAGCAGCCCTGAGACCACCTTGCTGTCAAGCATTCTTTAACAAGTGGAGGAAAAGGGACCAGCAAGGGCAGGCAGACCTGCCCACAGCCACTCTGCAGCACACACTGTCTCCGTGTGTGTGCTTTGATGCATAAAACACAAGGAGAAAGCGTAAAACACAAGGCTTGCAGTGGCTCAGGTTTAAGTGATTTGTCACAGATCCTAGAAATGAAGACACAGTTGCTCACACCAATGAGCCAGCCTAACGAGCAGGGAAAATGATGGTCCTCCTCTGAATCTCCTTCTTTGCTGCCAGAACTGCTGCCCTGGGATGGAGCAGACAGACCGTGCAGTACCGAGTACACATTCTTAATGATATGACAAACATGGACTCGATTCCCCTCAGAGTGGAAAGTAAGGGTGAGGACCCATTAAATCCAGCTCAGTTCTGGGTGGCACTGGGGTGACGTCCTGCTGGTGCAGCTGTCTGCAGGTTTGCAGGGGGAGGGTGTAAAGTGACCGCAGTATCCCCACTTCCTGCTTGGGGTGAAACTGGCTGAGGGCAGCTGTGGAAAAGGCACATCTGGTGTGTGTTGACAAGGAGTGACAGCAGGCTCCTTGGAGTGGCCTCTGTGGCTTCTGTAGTCACAGTGAGAGCAAAGAGAAGCAGGAAATGGCAAATGGCCATAACTTAAATCAGCTGTTGAACCTGCCCTTTTTGATTTCCTTAAATTACCACCATTTAGCAGGTCTTCTCTGGGACAGAGATGACCTAGTCATCGTGTCTGGCCCTGGAAAGCCGTCCTTATTAGCCGTACTCATTAGTCTCAGCCACAGTAAATGAAGAGCAGGATTAGCCCTAAAAGGAGATAGAACTGGCTGTTTTAAACCTTGCACTAGTTCTTTGAAAGGAATTTTGATTCTCACACTCAGATCCTTTGGCGGCAAACAGGTTTAAATTTCTGATCTGTCTCATCCAAGTGACTTGACTTTAGCCTAAAGCACGGGAGGCGTGTGGACACACTCTGCCCTTCTTCCTGTACAGTCTGTGGTGTAATTTTGGAAAATAAGCAGGCTTTGGTAAAGCGAGGCTATTGTTGTGCCATTTCCTTATGTCTGTGCCCCCTGCAGGCAGTCCAATCTGAGAAGAAATCCCTTCACCTGTAAGATTGACCTGAATTGCACCTGTCACTTGTATGTATGTGCCCAACAACTTTGCCAGAAGATAAATCAGTCTCCAGTCTCTCAGTTCTCCAGATGGTGATAATAGTTACATTGTTTTGTTGTTTCTCTGTAGAGATGATTTCTTTCATTTCTCCATAATCCCTGCCCTGCGTCTTAAAATTATTTCTTAAACTGATAATGATAAGTTAGTTAACTTTGCCAGATTCTATGCTCTTGCAAAGTGAGACATCAGGCAAGCAGAGAGCCTTTAGGGTCAGAATAGAACAGAAAAAGTGAGGAATAAAGAACTTTCCTGAGATAAGGACAAAAATTCCAAAGGGACTAATCAAACACCCAGGAGTAGGGGCAACCGGACATTCCTAAAGAAGGACATCAAACAGAAAGGACTCTAAGGTAAGGGCTGGGACAGAGACTTAGTTCCGGGCACAGAGACATAGACAGAGAC